TTTTTATGCTTATAACTTCAAGTCTTCTTCTTCAACTGTGAACAACTGGACTGCTGGACTGGCTGTTGCCACTTCCACTAACTGAATTGTTATTTTTCCTGCTGTTATGTTTTCTATTTAGTTCTAGTACATGCATACATATTTGTTTTTGTTATTGCATTTCATGCTACCTCTGGTGGTTGGTTGCACGTTCGCTGTCTGCTCGAGTGCTCGCCGACTATTTGGCTTTGCTTGACTGCATTTTGACTAGCTGTTGTTGTTTTAAAGCTGCTGTTGCAGCACAACAAAGCGCAGAACGTCAACAACAAAGTCAATGTCCATTTTCGTTATGCTCGTTATGTTGTGAAAAATAAAACATCGACGGCGACTCATTTTTTTTGTTTTTTTGCAAACAAAATTTAGCATCGTATAAACAATAGTACCTAAGTATTCCAGTGTGCAACATATGCTAATGTGTATGCAATAGAAATGGGGCATGACAATTACTAATCCATGGCTAGCTGCAAGTGTAAGAGCAGGTGCATCACGAGTTGTGATTGCAGATGTTAAACTGAAAATAAATGATTTATTTAGAGATATTGCTTTCAGCAATGTCTTCACCGCGCTGTTTTTACAGAGGTATCGAAGGATATATGGCGATGTGGTCAGAATGAAATACATACTTAAAAAAATAAATAATTAAAAACAGAAGATTTGTCCTAACAATTGTGATTAAATACTTTAGATGTAGTCGATATAAGATAACTTACACATAAAATAAAATGCATGCATGGACGTAAATTAAGAAAGAACCGAGAAGTGTTAATTAAGTGTTGTAATAACAAGAATGATGTAGTGTATTGAAAAATTGTAAAAATCAGTTGTTCGGAGCCAATATAACCTTCGGGTTTCAAGGTTTTCTCGGGCAAATTTTATGTGTTTTTAAAGGGAAAAAACAAGAGCCTTGGGAGTTAAAAAGCTTGGAGTGAATGAATGTGCGCAATGAACTAATATCATCAGCTTCTATGACGCTTGACAGACTGTCCTTGCCAGAGGAATTCGATTACCTACAGACGCTGGAAGGTGCTAGAATGTGAGGCATACGTTGTAGAGTAAGTGTAGCTCATTAAAGTTCTAAGCTTAAGATATGTACTAGAGGTAGATCTACGAATTTTATATTTGTGAGTACCGCTGAGCACTGTGGCCAAGAAGAAGCCCTAGATTTAACGTTGTTCACCGAGTAGAGCCTAAAGGTCACAAAATGGAAAGTATCTGCTGATGAGATCCGTTCACATCAATGTGTGTAATTTTGAGTTGCATATCACTGTGTATAAACCCAGGAACACGCGAAATAAACTGGAATCTATTGCAAAAGTTTAATTCCTATGGCTTGGATAGAATACCGGTTGAGGAGCCTCCATTAAAAGCGAACTAAAGGCTAGAACTTTAGAAAGGCCTCAATCATGGTCATTAAGATGAACTTATAGTGCTTCAGAAGCAGATAATTAAGTTATGCAATGAATGCTAACGAAGCGAGGCCAATTCGAAATCGCCCTAATGTACCCGCGGAGGATATGGGCGGCAGAGGTGGTCTTTTGCAGGATCGTATAAGATTACTAGACATATCTAGTAATCCTACGACCCACCTAAAGCATGCGCAGATGAACCTTTCAAAAGGTTCCACCGCAGCTGCGCGAATCAAGGCAGGAAGGAGTGAAATGTCTTCCTGCCAGTGCCTAGCTACCTTGACAATGTTCATGCCGAATATTTTATAGTGCAGTCGCAAATTTTTACAAAGATATATAAGAATAAATGGAAAGAAGAGCGAATGTCTAATGTCCGGTTGCACCAATCAATTTCAACAGGCTGATAAATTTAAAATTGATTGGTGAAATTAGCGAAAATTCTTTTAAACTCATTGCAAGGTAAATAAATTCCTAAAAGTCAAGCTGCCGAATGCAGATAAGGGACTTATGTACTAAGAAACTGAGAGCATGGTTTACCATATACTTCGGAATCTGAAGCAGCTATTAATATGTTTTTAAAGCCTGGGCCGAATGGCAGCATTCTGTATCGAATGTAACACGAATCGAAATTTGATTTTGAGATCACGGCATTCGATAGCGAGTGTGCTTCGCCCGTTTAAATTGTTTTGTGGAGAAAAAACAGCTGCCATTTTGTTTCATTTGATTCGGATATATATTTTTTTTTTGAAAAAAAAAATCATGATAAGAAAAAACGGCTTCGGTTGAAGGCATTATTTTATACCTACATACATACACATACACATATATAGTTTAAGTACTTATAATTTTATTTAAGAACGCTAGGCACAGTCTTAAGCCCACAAATTGTTTTGATGGATTTCTGAAGCCGTTACCGCTTTAAGAACAGCCTGAATGTCGTTCAATGCGCTGGAAATTTCTATTCAAACTAAGGAACTGCAAACCTGAAATGATAAAATAATTAAAAATAGAAAATAAAACGAAAACAAAAAGAGACCAGTTCACAGCATTCCAGATATATATATGTATGTATGTACAATAAACCGAATCGAATAGCCGAGCAAATGTGTGACCCTTTCAAGCTTTGCCTGCGGCTGCAAAAGCAATAAAAACGGACCAGGGAATGCGCCGAGTAAAGAAATGGCACGAATTTAATGTAAAAGTTGCACTAACATAATACAACAACAATAGTACATAGTAGTTGCAACAACATCAAACTGTGCAGACTATTTTACAATAGTAAAGTGCAACAAAAACACAACAACGCAAATCGAAACGTGCAACCTACTGACTACGAAAATATGAAACACACAAAAGTGGCACAACCGTAACTGAAACAGCAACAGAATTAACAAAACAAAATAGGCAAGCAACAGCAGCAACGCGATAGCAAAACTGCTGGCGGCACACACAACGAAATGCCGCAATAGCTACGCGCGCAAAGGTGGTGGTGGCATGCCACAAAGCATTAAATGAGCCGCACTTAAAGCTAAGAAACCTGCCCCAGCAGAAGCCTAAATAGCAACAAAAGCAACAAATAGGCGCACAATTGCGCTTACGTGTGGCAAGCAACAACTCGCCGGCGACCCAGTGACGTCGATGCAACGCCGGCACAATGCGCCTTTTTACGTTTTCCTCTTTCCACACAGTAACCAACGATTCGGCGAATGAGCAAAGAGCAGCCGACATAAGAGTCGGGAAGCAACAGGCGTCGAGTGTTATTCTAGACAAATAGAACTCCGCAATCCGCAGCGACGATGGTAAATTGGCAACAAACTAAAAATTAGAAAATTAAGCGGCGCACAAAATAATAGTGTCACAGCGTCCAGCACCGTGCCGCGGCCAAAGATCCACTGTGTCTGCGCTTCACACTCCAACTATGTATTCGATTATACGCCTGCTGCCTAGCTCAATTGCGGCAGCCTTTCCACTCATCAATTCGCCATTCTTTTGGCCTGCCAATACTCGTACTCGTCCATGTCTGCGCGCTGCTGTCCACACTTCGGATTTGCCAGCGGTGCGGTTTGGTGCTTTGAAGTGGACAAATAATTTCAGTAGACAAAAATTTTGCATTGCTGCCTTTTGCTGCTGCCCCAAAAGCGGCAAAAAGTGAATGGCACACAGTGCAGGACATCAACGGCCACCAAGCCGCGGCAGATCAGCCGCATTCGGGTCAAGCGCCATATGCGAAAAATAATGGGTAAAATGGTTGCTACACTCCGCTGCTCATTCGCATGCGATTGGTTTTTTTTTGGGAAAGTAATTTTCCGAAAATAAATTGGTGTTGAAAGCAATTTGGGGATTTCGAAGCGCCCAGCTGATCGCAAAAGCTATTCACTCATTCACCGGCTGCCCTAAAAACTTACATTACTACTTATCTATGTATGTGTGTGTGTATGTGTATGTATGTTTGGAAGTAGCGTAAGTGACTGTGCGCAAAGTGGGCGGCGGCGCATTGCAACAGCAACAACAACAGTAAACTTGTACAATATCAGCGGTGGCGACTTAAAAATTGCCGATTAGGTCAAAAAGGTAAATTGAATGAAAATGAATTGTTTTCACCGTAGCAGTCCAGCATGTTACTGCCACCTGCTGTGGCAAGGTAAAGTAATTACATAGAAAAAATAGGAATAATAAATAGCAATGAAAGATAGAAAAGTTAAAGATACATATGTTGGTCATCACGTGTGAGAAGCCGAAAATCCACACCCATATTTGTAGCTGAAATACAAAGCTTTGAAGACAAAATGATTTTCTGCTTTTTCTTCAACTATTTTTCTACTTTCTAAAGTATAGGCAATTAGAACACACATACAATTAAAAGTGCAATGAAGATATTAAAAAAGTGAGTAAGAACATTAAGGAATTATATAGTTTTGCAAGTCCTTTGTAAGACAATTGAATTACAATAGGCGAAATAGTTTGGAAGATGTTGTTTATTCTGGCACCAAAGTTTAACAAACAAAGCATCCTTGCCAACTTTCATGGTGAAAAGCTCTTTTGGCAGAAAGCTCTTAAGCATTCTCCAAATTGAGATGTATATCATTTTGCTGGCCAACAGAATCTCACGTGTTGTTAAAGTGGTGGAACACTTATCTTAGACAATGCATTATCTTGAGTTTTGCTTAAAGAATTTTTAAGCAAATAACACAAACGACTTCAATTCTCATATAAAAATTTAAAAGTATCGTTAATATCTTCATGATCCAATGATCGTATTTAAATCAAATGTATATGGGACCCCCTCTGAGGTACCGACCTTTCCTTTAAAGGTCAAATTATATAATTCGGTTGACGTAGTAAAAAGTTATGCGGTAACATATGTATAAAAAAAATAA